TGGACGGTTGCATTGTAAATACTGCCTTGCAGCGCGAGAGTGATGTCACATCGGCGTTACACGTGGCGGAGGATCGGAGAAAGTAACTCGAGAATTTTCTATACGGCTATTAGCCTCATCTCCTAGTCCACAAGCCCTACTATAGCTGCCAAGGTAGTTAACTTTCTGGACGACCTCTAGCTGATCCCCACCAAGGGTCAGCGCAACAGGACTTCGCAATTCGAAGATGCAAAGCATAGCCCGAAACGACTGACAGCTAATGTTAATTTACTTAGTGAAATTTGGTACGTCTGGGAGTCATCACAAATTAGTAGCATCGTCAACGTGCTCCAACGCAAGAGGTAAATCACCCGGGAGCAGCCCCACACCTTACAACTCGTTCCCAAAGAATGCAGTTTCCATGATTTCGTCAATGGTGAAGGTAAAGAGCATACCTGACAGCAAGCAACCGTGTCTCACACAGTTGGAGATAGCGAGAGGCGGGGAAAGCTTCCGAAAGCAACCACTCTGCACGAACTATGTGCGTACTGCGCTTATATGAAATTTTCAAATTTGCCGCACACACCCCAACTGAGCAGACAGTCGTAAAGAACACACAGATCAACCGAATCGAAGGCACCTCTGATGTCGAGCAGCATGAAAACCGTTGGTCACCAATAAGTCTGATGATGCTCCACTAATTGATGTAAAGTGAAGATATCATCAATACAGCCACGACTTCGAGGAAACCCGGCTTGATCCTCACGAATCTGGCTTTCATGTATGCCATTCAGTCTATGGAAAATGACAAAGTAAGTTGGAAGCGATGCAGATCAGACTGAATACTCGATGTTTGCCGCATTCGGAACGGAAGCCCCTTTTGAAAACGGGGACAATGAAGGAACACCTCCAGTCTGATGGCACAGTCTCCAGCACCTACAGCTTCACTAATAATTTGTGCAAATCATTCACAAGATCAGGTCCCCCGAACTTATAGTGAGCTTGGGGAAATCTATCTGTCCCTGCGGCCTTATTCAATTGCAACAGACTGATCTAACGTTTGACTTATGCGCATGAGAGCGGATCCAAGAGGACGCCCGAGATGGAAGGGCGATCAAAGGCCCGAAAAGGAAGATGACTATTTTAAGTGATTAAAAAGTTCATCAGTGTTTCGTCCAATGCTTCAAGCGCCCTGACAAGTTGTGGATCAGGTGGTTACTCTCGTCTTATATAGTCTCGCCAAAACCCTGTTTCATGCTGCCCATATCCCGTATAAGATGGAATAACTTACCAAGGACAGCGGCTGTTTCTACCTCCGACGCACGATGAGAGCAACTGAATTCGCGGTCTCTCCTCCAGCTAGCACGTAGTTCTGCCCTCAGATCTTTGTGAGTCTCAATGCGTTCGTTTCCAACCAAACACATTGGAGAGCATCCAGAAGTTTCAAAAACTGCGCTGAGACCCAATATCCAGCTAGGCAATCAGATCCACCACATGAAGAGGTACCTGCTCCCAATAACTTTGCGCGGTTATGCAGTCAGTGACCCTTAATTGTGTTCAGGGGGCGCTTACTAAAAGCTGGCATTCCCCACATACTTTGGTACGTATTCAGAACATCTGACATCTGGGCGTCAAGAAATTGTACTACATGAACAGGATACTGTCAGTTGCCCAGGCCTAAACTGGGGAACGATTAGGTTTAAGAAGCAGAGGATTTAACCTAAAAGCCTAACCGCAAGAAAGCGGGGTTTCGGCACTGGGCTAGAGAGTACATTTTATGGAGTAAGCAGGCTAAGTGATCGCAGAAGAACGCAAACCATTGTACCACACTTAGGTTCAGTCTCATCGCGAGGTGAATACATTCTATTTGTACCTAAATACATAGAGAATGCATAAAAAATGGAAGCAAGGAGGAAGTGCGTTAAACTAACCAGGATGGAATGGTGACTAACGGTCGATGCAAGAAACTAAATGAAGGAACGTTACTGACCGCGCCACTGCGACATATTTGATTGTGGCTCTAATTATTGGTGGGGATTATCCCGAGGCCCCCATCCATGTTGACGGCATCCACCAGTCAATTTTTTGAAGTCTTCATCCCAAATAATGGACTCGTCAGCTCGAACTTCCGTCCAACTTTGCGAAGCAACGGTGTGTAATACACGCCGACGAAGCCAGTCAACGGGTATACAGAGGACATGGCTTAGCCAGCACAGACGGTTAAGATACAATAAACACTCGAGTAACGCGCTGAAAGGTATTTTTTACCAGAAATCAACCGACGGACTTCAGTATTGGCCACCAGGAGTTCCCAGCGGACGTGAACAATACTACACAAGTACCTGGGGTCAGACACGTCTAAGCGCTTAATGTCTTCATTGAGAACTGACAAGATCTCTGATCCATGCAGTAAGACCGGATTATCGCAGCCTTATGACTCTACCACTCCCTAACAGATTGACATCGCGCCCTATCCATAGATGGTTGGGCATCTGGAAAGACATACAGGATTTGCTGATAGGCGAAGTAACCTCCCCAGTGATGTGACCACAATAAGTGACACATATACCAAAGTAAGTGGACCGATAGACCATTGTCAGTGATTGTTCGATGATAGCTAAACCTGGTGACGTATTGGTTCAGTACTGCAAAAATATTTTGCACTTTGAAGGGACAAAGCATATGTCGAAGCGTGCAGCGCTACGCACCAGTCTATCCAGCAGTGCTTGCATAGCCAATACGTCAGACCCAAGGAGAGCTATGTCGTCCGCATTCTCCATGTTTGTCAGTTCGTCACCTGGAAGGACCTATACTTCGGAGGAAGCTAAAAGAACGAGGTAAATTGGGATCACTTCGCTCATAAAGGTTAAAAGAGGTAGGGATATAGAGCAACCCGGATGAACCCCACTTGTCGTACAGGAACTCAGGAGATAGTTTTCGGTAGACCCCAACCTGGTCTCGGGTGTCATGGTATGGAAAGGATTTAGTTCGCACGCCCTGCACCGATAGTCTGTGGCGTGGTCAACAGAGTCGAAGGCGGCTTTCAAGTGAAAGGAAACCACCATAGTCGGTCGTCCGTATGTGCGGCTCTGCTCTAACACTTGCCGAAGTGTAAATATGTAGTCGACGCAATCATGACCAAGGCGGAAACCAGCTTGGGTTTCAGTGATTCGGGTCTCACGAGGACCAGAAAATCGCAGTAGGATAGTGAATGAGAGAAGCTTGGAGGAATGGAAATAAGGTTCCTCGATGACTTCGAACAAAGTGCGCTGTCCCTTCTTGCAGATAGGCAAGACAGTCTCCAAAAGGAAGACATCTCATTGTGCCAAATCGTGTTAAATAGAGAAGCAAGTCCGGTCAACAGCCACTTACGCTTTCAGAAAAGATGGAGAAAGGTCGTCGAGTCCACGCGCTTTGTTTAGTTTCAACAAGAAGGGCTCATGTCGATTCACTTCTAAAGTGGAATGTGTGACAGCAATATTCCATGCCGGTTCAAGTGATGCAGTAAGCGACAGTGTCGCAACATGGCCGCCGAAGCACTCTTCAAAATGTTCCGCCCAACAGGCTAGTCGACGAGACTGAAAGGATCGACCGTCCAGCTTTCTCAGCCGTTGCTTCACTAACTGATAGCTTTCTTGGACCCGTGTTCCGGATGAACTGGAGTAACACTCGGTTCTTTTCAATAGAACTGGCTTTCTCCATGTTACGGCATCTTTCTACCCAACAACGTTCTCAGTCAATTCTAAGATATTGTCAATCGCCATTTCAGAGCGTTACGGACTCGCTGAAACTCATTAGGCGTTAGCACCTGCTTCCGTGCTTCGATCAAACAGATCGACGCCTCAGAGATCCATTCGCAGTTATGAAGCCTCAAGTTGGGTACACAGCAGGCATCAGATGCATTCATGGCACACTTGAGATGATCCCAGTCACAGTTCGGCTCACAAACCTATTCATCACTGAAACTCGATGGGCCGGTTTGTCATGAGACAGTGGTACTGCAGATTGCGAGTTCAAGTTACAAATATGAAGGTTAGAAGTTACGCACTTTTTTGAAGCGGGAAGTGTGAACTCCAGGACGGCGCGCCCTAGGGCAAGGTCGGAATCCAGGCATGTGCTCCAAATTGAATGACAGTCTTGGACTGATGTGCGCCATCTGTAGCTGATGGCAATATGGTCAATTTGGGTCCAGGTCGTCGAGGAATTCGGTGGGCGCCACGTGACACAATGTTCGGCGCACAGTTGTGCGGACTGATCACAATTGTCTGTTCGGCGTGCATTGACCCGGAAGCAGCCTCCCATGAGTCGGAAAGACGACCCACTTTGGCATTCTAGTCACCAGCAACAAACACGATGCCAGCATTTTTCGACATACGGAGAATAGATGCAAGATGGTGATAGAAATCGTCTTTGATAACCTCCTGAACTGCAGTCAGTAGGGGCATAAACAGATGTGATGAAACGAACCCCTTATCTTCAGACAGTGATTAGTAACCCGAATAGACGTTGGAAGTCGAACAGTACACATGCGGTTTTTCACCGGTATCCAGTCGAGTAGATTGCTTTCAACATGTCTACTGAGTAGGTTCAAACGATGTCGGTAATTTACGCAGGACATACGATGGTTGCGGACGGTAGGTGCCTAGCGGACATAGTGGGTCACAGGGACGAGGAGTGCCAAGAAATAGGGTATCGACGGTGGGGATATAACAAGCGAACCGTGAGCTTTATCTTTGAACTACAAGTGGAAGGTATTAACATCTAAACATCGCTGGTTTGCTTTGGAGCACCTGCCGTGTGTCTGGATTTTTACACGCAACCTCGATTGAGGCTACAGTTTGCGTTGAAGTAAACGTCGACCATTCCAAACAATGGCAAGTTTGGGATCAACAGTTTTGAGAGAAAACAGCTCCGAGATTCTTCACTTATGCAACACAGAGAGAACCAGATGCGACACAAATTTCCGTGCATATTTGCCGAGAAGGTTTGCATAGGTTTGAAAACTAACCATCGTAGTATACCAGTCCCCCGATCAGCTTGTCACGTTTCAATAACGGAAAACGCTCCAGGACCTGTGGTTTGCTCAGGTAATAGCTGGCTTTGAGGATTTGGCCACCCGAGATAACATCGTACATTTTGATTCCTGCCCAGAAGTAGGGTAATTGCCATAGTCTGAAAGAGATAATAGACAAAGAAATGAAGTGGATGCGTTAACACCCGTTGAGAACAAAAGTTTGCATGCTCCTTTATCAACTGAAAAGCAAAATTCCTTCGTGTTGAAGTTTGCGCATCCAAATCGCATTAAGGGTTAAACAAAGAGAGGAAATATACGGGGGAGGAACAAGGCTAGCTAACTGTGTACAATCTGTGATGAATAGTGCGCGAACGCGAAAGTGCCCAATGTGCAAGCACAGTTGCACATGATACCGGTCGTTTGGCTTTGAAGACAGGGTTAATGCATGGGAGCGCACGGTAAGAGCATTCTTTCCGCACAGTAGGCGAAGCCAATAAGAAATGTCAGTGTGATTTTCTGCTCTGAGCGATTGCGGCATGGGCTTCAACTGAATTCACCTGGGCTCCGTTATGAAAGAAACTTGACAGGGGACCAGAGGAGGAGTTAACCGATCCAAACACTTGCAAGAGAGTAAGATTGGACCGATTAATCAGGCAACACTGACCGGAATTTTCCGGAAAAATTCAAGTGCCAGTTTCTGCATACTATCGAGTGCCAAGTGATTAATTACGACAGAAAGAAGGGATTTCAAACTCGATATGAGTCAAGATTAACTTGACTTGATTAACTTACAACATAGGGCATACACCGTCGAATAGCAACATGATAATATCCATCCAACGTCAAATCGGAAGGTGAAAATAGCACAAAAAAGTCCGCGAACAGATACGCAGCCCCCGCTAGGGGAAGCATCATCAGTTGGGGTTTGTTAACCAACCCACTATGAGAAATTCGCCCGTGTGACCCCACTTGTGTCAACTCTGATACATACGCCCCTTCGATGGGCGGTAATGTGCGGATCACTGCAAGGTACGCGACCAGCATGCAACGAACACTTTGTTGGAAGCCGTTTGGAAACGGCTGCATGCTAAGTTCCGTGGGACATCTGCCACAACGCGAAGGCTGATAAGTTGCGCAAAGGGAACTTGATTCGCTCAGTTCAGTACGGTTAAACAACTATGTTCTGGGCATCGAGATGCGGTAGATCCAGTTGCCACGACTTACGTCGTCGAATTAACCTTGGATGAGAAAAAATGGAGTAATGCAAAAAGTGCGTTAAACTAATCGGGATGGAATGAGAAGTAACGGCTAGATGTAAGGAATTGAATGCAGGAACGCCACTGACCGCGTGACCGCCCCATGACTGATAGTTTCAAAATACTGGTGTGTACCGTCCCGAGGCCCCTCATCCACAAAGACGACACGCCAACATGGCCAAAAGTAACTAAGTATAACGGTTAATTTCTCTATGCCCTTACGCCCCCCCCCCCATCCACTGGCCACGTCACAATTTCACCCAACTAGGTATGGTGAGGTCGTACAATGAGTGCCGAGGAAGACGGTCAATGGACCAAGGAAGGATATAACATAACCAACGTAAGCGGTGGAGCGTAAGCAAACACTCCAGTGAGGCACCGGAAGGCTTCTTGTCAAAAAAGCAACTGCCGTTGCGTACCCAGTATTCCCACCAGATGTGACAAATACTCCGAATGTACCTGTGACCAAACACGTCAAAGCGTTTAATATCTTCACTGCGAATTGGCCAGGTCTCTGATCCATAAAATAACACCGGCCTTATTGCATCGGTATACACCCAGCCTTTCACTAACAGCCTGATATCCCACCGTCTCCACAGATAGTTGTGACACATAAAGTAATCTCATCAGTGATGTGACCACAGGAGGTGGCACAGCTACTAGGATAAGTGAACCGATCCACCATTGCCACTGGCTGTTCGATGATAGCTAAACCTGGCGACGTATCGGTCCAGAACTGCAGTCTGAAGATGCAAAGCATATGCCGAAGCATGCAGCGCTACGTACCAGTCTATCCAGTAGTACTTGGATAGCCAATGCGTCAATCGGTCATTTGGAAGAACGTATACTTCGAAGGAAGCTAAAAGAACGTGGTAAATTATGACCACTTCGCTCATAAAGGTGAAAAAGGTGGGGATATAGGACAACCCTGAGGAACCCCACTTGTCATAGGGGGACTCAGGATACAGCTTCCCGTAGACCCCTGCGCAGTCTCCGAAGTCTTTGTAGAAATAACTCAGAATGGAAAAGAGTGCTCTTTGTTTACCCAACACAAATAAACTGTGCCACAAGATAGCACGATCAACGTAGTCAAGAGTGGCTTCCAGGTCAAGGAAAAAAGGACTGCAGGTGTTCGCCTGTAGAGTGGATACGTGGCCGATGCAACAACGACCATGGCGGCAGTCAACCTGGCTTCCAGTGACTCAGTTGATAGGAAATAAATAATAAACCATCAGCTGTACGCCGTAATGGTAGTTCTCTGCCGCGCTACCACCATCAGCCGCGCATCGGGTTAAGTATGCCGCGACGACGCCCGTCCCTAGGTGGATTCGAATCGAAGACCTTACGAGGACCAGTAAGTCGTCGAAGAGAGATACCGGTTGTTGTGTGCCTGGGACTTCCGGTCGCAGCAAGAGAAAGAACACACACCGGCTCAGCATAAAAGCGTTCAATTCACAAGTTTGAGGTTATGTGCAAGCAGCTGTGTTTTTAAAAACTCACCCGCCCACTCTATCGATCGCCTGATTGATCGCACAGAGGCAGACGATTCCCTTCACTCCAGGTTTCAGCCACCACAAGCGGTTTTATGTTAAAAGGTTGTTGCAACAAGTTCTCTACGGTTTTCCGCTGCGTGTACACTTGCTGTCTAGGGCTGAGGTTGCAGGTACCCTTTCTTGTTGCTGCTGTCGATACGCGCTTTGCGGAGTCCGTTCATTATGTGCTCTTCTAATTTGCACCCGATTTTGTCAAATGAAATTGCTCCCTATCATGACTTCGTAGCTCCTTTCACCCATGCGGCCCTTAATCACTCCCTTTCGCCAATGTTCTCCCGAATCTGGTACTGGTTACACACATACTTCTCCTACAGCTAGGAGTGCGAGGTATCTCGATCCCCGATCATAGTACTTTTTTGTTTTAGTATTCTTTTTCGTAGTCGGCTGTGCACAGAAGCGGCCGGTACTATCTCGAGTCGTAGTAGCATTGTGGCGGCCGGTACCAGCGTTCATGTTTTGCGACTGAATAGTTGTTGCACCGGACTTACTCCCATCTCGGTAGACGGCCTGTTTCTTCGCTCCAACAGCGTTATCTAGGGATGCTCGTGGGTCTCCTTGGCTTTGATGAGCACTTTCTTCGCTTCCTTCATTGCTGACTCAGCCTTCCCATTTAATTGGCTGTGTTACGGGTTGATGAACCGATGCCAAAAAATCCCACTTCTTGCCAAAAGCGCGGAATTCTGAACTAATGAATTGCGGCCCGTTGTCGGAAATCATAACCTCGTGTATTTCATGCCGAGCGAATCGACAACGTAACTTGTTCACTACGGCTTGCGCGAAGGTTGATGTGAGGGCATCAATCTCGAAGTAGCCACTGAAACAGTTAACCAAAATCAAAGAGCTCTTCCCGTCGTGAAGAAAAATGTCCATTGAGACCATCTGAAGGGCTTATCCGGAACGTCACGAAGCAGCAATGGCTCCATTGATTAGCGCACATGGTGTGTCCTACATGTTAAACAGTTTGATGCCTATTCACGTATTTGACTGGTGATTCCTGGCCAGAACATCAGCTCACGTGCTCTTGTCACGCAATTGTTGATTCCCAAATGTGCACAGTGTACCATCTGCAGGATTGAACGTTGCAGTGTCTTCGGAACTACTATTCTGTTAGTCTTGAATATGAATCCGTCTTGGGTGATGAGTTCATCGCGAAAATGGAAGAACGGAGTTAACTCTTTGGACAATTCTTTCTTGTCGTCGGGCCATCCGTTCATTATCATCTTCTTCAGTAACCTGCACAGTCCGTCCTCCGTGCACTGTTGGAGCTGTTGCAAACGTTCCTCAGTGACCGCGATCAGTTGTGCTGCGTGGACAAAATCCGAGTCTTCTTCCATTTCCGGTGTGTCTGACAGGTGCGCCCTTGACAACATTGCCGCAATGTGCATTTGGGATCCTGTTCGGTAGACTATATCCAGGTCATACTTCTGCAGACGAATAAGCATCTTTTGCATACGGAGTGGAACGATGTTGAATGGTTTACTAGTGATGGATACAAATGGCCTGTGATCAGTGAAGACAGTTGTTTTGCGGCCGAAGGTATGATCCTTGAAACGTTCTACGGCGTAATCCAGCGCCAGCATTTCCTTTTCAATTTGTGAGTAACGACGCCCGGCCTCTGTGAGCGTGCGACTGCGGAAATCGACAGGATTACCGCATTGCATAAGCATAGCTCCAATGCCGTATTGGATGCTGTCATACTGAATCTCGAGTGGAAGTGACAGATCAAAGTAGGCAAGGACAGGGTAGTTGGAATTAACTTCTTGATCTTCCGAAAGACATTATTTTGTTCAGAGCCCCAGTTCTAAGTTGAACCCTTATGGGTCAACTTTCGAACTGTTATCATCACATTAACCACTCGTGGAAGGAAACGGCTCAAGTAGTTGACCCTTCCGTTTAGCCCGGCTGGCTTGCCGATCTACCTTCTCGTGGTGCCAGCTGGATGGTCCGGGTGTACCCCGTTCCAGTAAAGTGTTCGACGACAATGTTCCACTTCCGTGGGGCATTGTATTCCAGCAATTGCGCTGACTCATGGGGAGTATTGAGCCCCTGTTTAGTAATCTACCAAACAAAGATGCATGAACTGAACATTCAGTCAACGCCTCCCAATGGGCGCGATTCCCTAAATTCGCGCCGCTGCCTTGTGGGTAGGTTACTTAGCCAAAGGCTCGGGGTGGAGTCCCCTAAGTCAACTCCCTACTTCGGCTTGAGCAACCGGGTAGTATCATGCCCTCTTACAAAACCATGGACTGCATTACAGCGCACTCATCAGCCACTGTTCCTGCTACTCACTTGCACGCTACTTCATCACACACCAATTGTTTGTTTGCTAACAATCCTCACTTTCGGTTA